GGATACGAGTAGATATAGCTCGTACTTTCATCAAACCATTACTGTCATACAAGAGTAACTACAACTATACGGATACGAGTAGATATAGCTCGTACTTTCATCAAACCATTACTGTCATACAAGAGTAACTACAACTATACGGATACGAGTAGATATAGGTCGTACTGTCATCAACCCATTACTGTCATACAAGAGTAACTACAACTATACGGATACGAGTAGATATAGCTAGTACTGTCATCAACCCATTACTGTCATACAAGAGTAACTACAACTATATGGCTACGAGTAGATATGTCATACTCACTTTGTAGGAACAGTCAAGAAATCTCACAACAGAACATGTGTAAATAATGTGTCTCAAACTGTGTACACATGTAAATTAAATAATCTATTCTGTGTAGTATAATATGTTTATACACTACTCAACTAAAATATACACATTATATAAAATACACTGTGTTCAACTCACAGGCAGCCACATTCCTATATCTCCAGTGTGTAACCATCCATCTCTATCAATGATTTCGTCAGTCTTTTCTTGGTCTTTCAAGTATCCACTACAAACACTTAAACCTTTCACACACACCTGGGAAATACAGAATAAATATACATTTTACAAGTTTTACTCATTTACTAAATTCTCTGCAAGATGTCTCATGAATACTGGTTAACTCTTTCCACATGGGACCGGTTGATGTGACTGGCATTGTAACCATCAGAGTTTACACACTAGAACTTTTAATATGGTATGTGTATTTTCACACAAGTTTTTCAACTAACATTACAAGTCTTTTGTACATTTCGTAAAAAAATTAGATTTCGTAATAAATATTTTTATTAAAGACTTGCCCATGAATATATGGAGTTAAAGTGTTGACTGCTTTGAGAGCAAAGTGTTAAGACTAGGGGTGATTGAGATGTTTAAAAAAATATTTCCTTATAAAATAAAAAACATATATAATGTCTAAATTTGATTTATTAACTACATTTTGATGCCAAGCTTATTCGTATACATTGATAATACAGTTTAAGTTTTGAATGTAGTTCTGTAAAAGGTTGTGGCATCATACTTTAACCTATTCATAGAGAGATGGTTAAGTTTTCATGCTGTAAAAGGTTGTGGCATCATACTTTAAACTAGTCATAGAGAGATGGTTAAGTTTTCATGCTGTAAAAGGTTGTGGCATCATACTTTAACCTAGTCATAGAGAGATGGTTAAGTTTTCATGCTGTAAAAGGTTGTGGCATCATACTTTAACCTAGTCATAGAGAAATGGTTAAGTTTTCATGGAAAAATATTACAGATAATGGAGTTGTACGTTTCTTTTTTTGACAAATGCTAAATAGCTTAAACTTTTTATATTCACTTCCTGTATGAGTGTAAAAGTTTTTAGAGCTAACAACTTGGTAATATTTATCAGTATCCTATAAAAATATCTATTAAAATCCAAATGATTAAAACAGCTTGTAAATCAGTTAAAAAACTTTTACAGATTCTAACGCCCATTTGTCAAAAACACCAATGTTCTATCATACTTTGATTTAGTAGCTAGTTGCACACCAAACATCACTGAAATATCATCACTATCCTGTGTCTATAAAATCTTTAATTTAATCTATTTCATAACATCACCAAAATGTAAAGACAGTTACTTCAGGAGATTTAACGGTCTTTCTATTTCTTTAAATTAAGACTGTGAAGAAAATTACAAGTTTGTCTTCTTACAAAAACAAGGAATAAAATACATTATTTCACAACACTACACTAAAAAATAAGAAAATATTCTTATGCAACTAAGCTGTAGTGTTCTTATGGTAGTTACATTTTACATCTCTTGGGCTCATGTTCAATCCTTGGACCATACACATGCCCAATAAAACTGCCCACTTCAACTTTCTAGCAAGGCACTTTTTTAACAGTTCCAACAACCACATTAGTACTTTCTGAAATACTAACCTCTCCATAACCGTCAGCTGCAAAATACTCCATCTCTGGTACATCAACAAGTTTAATGGAACAGCAAGGTAAGGGTGGACCAACATGACCTGGAAAATACAGTTGTTTTGGTTCTAAAAACATAACGTCACTGAAGTGATGAAAAAAAAAATTATCCGAGTATCTACAAACAAACCATTCTGACAGTCTGTCTCATAACCACTATAATCTAAATAAGGAAACAGCTAGTCCAGAAGAACAAACCATTCTGACAGTCTGTCTAGTAACCACTATAATTTAAATAAGGAAACAGCTAGTCCAGAAGAACAAACCATTCTGACAGTCTGTCTAGTAACCACTATAATCTAAATAAGGAAACAGCTAGTCCAGAAGAACAAACCATTCTGAAAGTCTGTCTCATAACCACAATCATTTAAATATGGAAACGGCTAGTCCAGAAGAACAAACCATTCTGACAGTCTGTCTCATAACCACTATAATTTAAACAAGGAAACGGCTAGTCCAGAAGAACAAACCATTCTGACAGTCTGTCTCATAACCACTATAATTTAAACAAGGAAACGGCTAGTCCAGAAGAACAAACCATTCTGACAGTCTGTCTCGTAACCACTATCATTTAAATATGGAAACAGCTAGTTCAGAAGAACAAACCATTCTGACAGTCTGTCTAGTAACCACTATAATTTAGCTACAGATTTAGGTTCTTTATTAACAATCACTATCTTGCATCAATGTTACACACTATAAAAAACTTCACATTTAATAGTTCAAAAATAAACTATACAAGTTCTTACCTGCAACTGCATCTCCATTCAGAGTAAGAGTACAAGGAGCCACACATTCAGTCTGTCCATACCCTTCTATTATCTGAAACCACATTATATATTGTTACTTACTGGCAGAAAACCATGCATTATCTCATGACTGACAAAAATGTATTTCATTTGTACACAACTTCTACATTTAAAGCCAGTGTATATAATGTAACTTAATAGACCAAACTATTAACAAAAACCTCTTATCAGTGTAATTGTCAGTTTTCTAAACAGCACTTTTTTGTTTTCTGATAAAACATACATAGTATTAAAGACATATGAATAAACTATTATCTTTATTAACTTACCAGGACAAGCAAGATCTGAAACAGCTTGAAACTATAGTACTTAGTCTATTACAGTACAAGAAAATGTTTCATATATCAATGAATACCAAAAAAAATAAACTAGAATACTAAATGTAGATAAAAAGCTTTAACATAACCTAATTTTTTACAGTGTGCACACTAACAAGACAAACTATAATTACAAAATCAGTATAAGTTATTCCTGACACATTACAAACTAAAATAATGAATACATAAACACTTATTGCAACAATATAGTCTGAATTAATGAGTATAATAATGGTTTATTGCAACAATAGTCTGAATTAACGAGTACATAAACACCTATTGCAACAATATAGTCTGAATTAATGAGTATAATAATGGTTTATTGCAACAATATAGTCTGTATTTTGTATGTTTCATGTAATTACAGAGAAAGTTGGTACTAATGAAACATATAAAATAGGTTTCTGTACTAGTACAATTACAGAGAAAGTTTAGTACTAACCAGTATAGAAACCTATTTTATATGTTTCATTAGTATTAACTTTCTCTGTAATTACACTAGTACAGAAACCTATTTTATGTTTCATTAGTACTAAACTTTCTCTGTAATTGTACTAGTACAGAAACCTATTTTATGTTTCATTAGTACAAACTTTCTCTGTAATTGTACTAGTACAGAAACCTATTTTATGTTTCATTAGTACTAACTTTCTCTGTAATTACACTAGTACAGAAACCTATATTTTTAGTAAAATAATTTCATGCATGCACTAAAAACCTGTTAAATGTTCAATTTAAAATGAAAGTACATTAAATTATTTCGTGCATACTTGCCCCCTTCAAATAAAAAATTGTGTTAGTTTCAGGGTTTCATTTTAATGTAAATGTATTGTTAGAGAACACGGGAATGAAAGGACATGAACTAACTTTAAATACAAAACAAAGAAATACTATGTACTTACCAAACAGCCTAGAGCACAGCGCATAAAACTAAGTACATTAGCATCAACTGGGGCTGATCCAATAACCATTAATCGGACTTGTCCACCAAGACCGTTCCTGATCTGACGAAACACTATATGGTCCCATATACTGTTGTGTCTGAGAATGTGCCTATAAATCATAATTAATAAAGTAAGTCAATCAAATAATGCTAACTAACTGACTATAATCTTTCATTAAAAACTACCAGGTCAGAAATCAACTCCTACCTGTTTATCTCTGCTTGTTTTCTACTAATTGCCAAGTTCAGCAGCCATCGCCTCAACCTGCTGCCATTTGTACTGGACTGAACCTGAAAAAGCAAAATATAATAACTTCAAGTTTTGTTTGAAATACTGGGGGTCATCAATTTTTTATTTAAACATCCAATTCTGATTATTTGTTAGAGAGAAGGCAGAAACCAATGGTGTGAAATGACAACCACCAAGATATTAAATAAACACCATCTTTTATTAACAGTACCTACAAGTTAAATATAGGATTACCGATGAAATCATCCCCATCAATCTTTTGAACACATTTTTCAAGATACACACAACCTACATTTTAAAAACATGATTGACAAACCCTGTTTCTCTTTCTCCTTAAAAAGTTACAAGCTTGGTAAGACTTTGTTAGGCTGGTTTTAAACATTTATCTTTTTTACATATTTTAGTAAAGACTCGTGACTCAAAGTTTATCTCTTAGCTCAAATGAAAAACCCTGAACTTAAACATTTATCTTTTTTACATATTTTAGTAAAGACTCGTGACTCAAAGTTTATCTCTTAGCTCAAATGAAAAACTTAGCAAAAATGAAAATTTTTGTTAATGTGGAGCAGCAAACATGTCTCAATAAAATTGTCCAACATCATCTTATCTTACTTTGTGTAGCACATGAAAATTTACTACACATCAACCTGGCTTTAACCCTTTATGAACTACCTGTTTAGTCCGAGTAATTTGTTAAAAGAAGATTCAACTTTCAACATGGCTTTTAGTCTGTACCTCGAACTTGTGTGGTAAAGTTATTTCTTGAATAACTTAAAACTGGTCATGAACTGTTTACACATTTTATTCCAGTAATCTTTGGTAGTGTTTGTTATATGAAAATTACACAGCTATACATATCTTTAATATTAAAAGAGAGCTAAACCTAGTAATCCGACATCCTTACGTCACAGTACGTAACAAGACACATGCAATGCAGTTTTGAGCATAATCATATATTTTTCAGCCAAGTCAATAACAGTATATGCAATCTAATGGAGCTATGCTTGTTTTTACTCCTTTGTATCTGAGCCTGGCTCTTTAACAAGTCACGAAATTTTATAAAGTTACGTTCAAACTTTAATCAATCAATCATCTTTATTATTCAGGCACATTTACAAGTCATGAAATTTTATAGTTACGTTTAAACTTTAATCAATCATCTTTGTTATTCATACACATTTACAAGTCACAAAATTTTATAAAGTTATGTTCAAACTTTAATCAATCCTCTTTATTATTCATGCAGATTTACAAGTCATAACTTTGTACAAATTTCACGTTCAAACTTTAATAATAATAAAGATGATTGAATGCACATGAATAAAATTAGTATCAGAAAGTAGGTTATCATTCAAGTTTTCATATTATCTAACTTTTAATTTCTTAAAAAAATTCTCATTCTTCACTTTTCTTGTCATGTGAAACATAAACACTCTCAATTCTCCCCCTTTTAAGTTTGTACAACTTCAAAAATATAGCTTTTATGGCTATGAATATTGGCAGGGTCAAAGGTACAATTTTTACTCCAAACTTCTCTGTTTGCTAAGATAAAATAAATTTTCCCAAACCCAAAACAGAAGCTCCACCCACCTAACTTTCAAGGCAGTTTTCAAAACGATCTGTTCTTAGTTGTTCGTATCCAATAAAAAGAGCATATTTTCTATTTTAAGCTTACACTGATCCTTTTGAATTTAGCAGAAATAGACAGTCAGGGTAAAGGAAATAACAGATATAAGCTTTTACTGAAAAAAAAATTTGATTTTCCTTCAGGATTTTCTAGAGGTTATGAAAATGAAACATGAAAATTCTAGCTCATTCATTTCATTTTGATAATGTTAAAAATTCTTAGAAGAGAAAAAATATAAACCACCATAAAATTAAGGAAGACTTGCTTATAAAACAGTTTATGCCTAAAATAAATAAGTATTCTGGCACACAGTTGTATCTATTCTAACTTTAACTTAACTTTTTTTATGATTTTCTATGAATCACTTTACCTCTATTTACAATTTTCAAGTTACAGTATTTAATTTATAAATTTTGTTGTTATCATATTTTATAATTTTGAAACAGTACTTATATTCCATTTTGTTTGATTACAGACATTGACCCTGAAAAAGTCAAGCCCTATCAATAAAAACCCTCTGGAAATATCATACCTTACTGTTAAAATTTACCCAATCAAAGTTCAATGTACCCTTGCACTGTATTATATATATTTGTAGTTTCAATTCATTCATTGTAGTTGACGTACCTGATGATGCCAGGTTAACCTGGTAAAACGTTGTACTTTCATTAAACTTTACTCTGTTTATCCGATTTATCAAGTTTACTTTTAATTACCACAGAGAACTTCCTTTCATCATAGAAGTTATTTTTATTCTTAGCATATAAATCACCTTGCACTTAAGACCAGTCAGAGTCTGAGTCAGACTAACTCTGAAAATACTTAGACAAATTTTTAGTTAAAATGCTTTTTAAAAAATCAGTTTTCTGTGTACAACAGACTAATCATTACTAAAAGCTTGCCACTTTCGTGAAGATACAATAATAATTGTTTCATAGTTACAATGCGGGTATAACACAAGTGAAGATACAATAATAATTGTTTCATAGTTATAATGTGGGTATAACACTA